CGCCGTCTTTGGACGAATCGTCTTTTCTGCAGAATTCCCATAGCATCGGAATGCGAGGTGTGCGCAGCGCGCTCCGCGACACAGACAAGGACGTCTCTTCCAAAGTTTGGGAGAGCACTCTGCAAGAGAGCCAGCAGGGCTGGCTTGGAGGACTTCGGTCCAGCTAGCCTCCATGAGACGATAGTATCGTCCCGTTTTGGTGTGCTTCAGAAGGGCAAAGTCCGCCCCATTGACAACTTCAAGAGCAGCTTTATCAATTCTTGCTGCGGCACCACAGAAAAGGTTCAGGTTGACAGCATCGACGAGCTCCTTGCAGTGTGCTTGGAGTGGCTGCGCCAGGGTGTGCCTGCAGAGCAGGCCCACCGCATTGTTGGCAGAACCTGGGACCTTAAGAGTGCCTACAAACAGCTTGCAGTGCAGGCCGGCCACAAAAAGTTTGCATGCATTGCTATGCGAGACCTGAAACTGGGAAGGTGAAGATCGCCCACTTGCATAGCATGCCCTTTGGCGCTGTGGCTGCAGTGCATGCATTTCTCCGTTGCAGTGAGGCGCTCAAAGCTATCGGCCGCGCAATATTCGCATTAGTGATGACGAGTTTTTTCGACGACTTCACAGTACTGACGCACAGCGCGCACAAGAGGCTTGTGAGTCTGGCAGTGTCCAGCATGTTCAAGAAATTGGGCTGGCAAGTTGCTACTGAGCCCAAAAAGAACGTCGACTTCAGCGAAGTTTTCGACGTCTTGGGCGTCAGAGTTGACCTGTCCAAGCAGCATCTTGGGCAGGTCACAGTTCAGAACAAACCAACTCGCGCAGCAGAGTTGGGCATGGTCCTCAGCGAGGCCCTGGCTCGCGGCAGCATGTCCCTGCACGAAGCGCAGAGCTTGCGCGGCAGGCTCATATTCGCTGAACAACAGGCGTGGGGTCGCAACACGCGCATGGCAGTGATTTGCGTCGGTGATGTTGCTGGGGACGGGCCTGAGCAAGTGCCCCTGTCAGAGCAGCAGCGTCTTGCCATGGAGTTTTTGCTCCAACGTGTAGTTCACGGCCCTCCTAGGACAGCGTCCATTCATGCCCGTCGCCAGGTTCATCTCTACATGGACGGGGCTTGCGAATGGGAGCTCCCACGCCTTGTGCCCAAGTGTGGCCTTGGGGCAGTGCTCATAGGCGAAGGCATGGCCTTCACCTCGGGGCTACAGATTAGTTCCGAGGTGGCAGCCCAGTGGGTTGCCAGGGCTCAAAAGCAGCAACTCGTCTTCGAGTGCGAGCTCTTGCCATACTTGCTGAGCTTGCAGCTATGGGCCAAGCACATAGCAGGCAGCGACCTCTTTGTGTGGATCGACAACGACGCAGCGCGTACGTCCCTTCACAAAGCCTTCACGAGGAAGGCAGAAGGGGCTGCGATAGTCTCGCAGGCTGTCGACGTCGAAGAGTCTCTGCAGTGCAGAGCAGCCTTCTTTCGAGTGCCCACCGACAGCAACATTGCGGACGGACCCAGCAGAGACTGGTGGGAAGAGACAGAGAAGCTTGGCGCAGAGCGCCAGTACCTTCCGCCCAACGCAGTGCAGTTGGCTCTGTCACTCGGCGCGGACTAGATGGGGGGTGTGTAAGGCTTCGAGTGCCTTCAAGGGGGGTGGACCAGTCGTTCGCCTTACCCTCGACCAGTGGTCGATTTTTCTTCAGAAGATGCCAGCGGCATCGGTTCACTCAGAGCCCGAAGATCGGGCCCGAACTGACCCCCCATATCCGCTAGGAGGAAAAAAGAATGCTCTCGCTTTCAGTGTACTGCAGCGCAGTTGAGGGTTCCCTGAAACGTGCGCTAACGGAAGTTTCGTTGGGAAATAAGCTCCCATCCTGCGTGCGTGAATGGGTTTTATTTCCCGCCGAAAGTGTAGACAAAGTTTGTCGAAAAAGGAAAACAGTGTTTTCACTTGTGTGTTGAGAACACTATTTTCAGCAGTCCACAGAGACACCCACAGCCTTACTTGAAGCCTACTAACGTACACTTCCAACAGGCCCAAATCCACTCAAACTTTCAACCACCCTCTTTCCTCGACCTTATAAGCCAGCCCCCACACCCTCAAAGCAGCGGCGACCTACAGATTACCGTTAGGATATGTAAGTTGCTCTTAAGGAGCACACAGATTGCCATTAGCTCCCAATGGGAGCAACAGATTGCCAATAGGACACTGATTGCCACTACCCCTTCGGGGGAACCAAAGATTGCCAGTAGCAAGAGCAACGCTCTTTTACAGCTGTGCCAGAGAAACCAGCCGACGAGTTTTGGGGAGATTCCCCATTTGTGCCAGCCTTTTCTTCCCGTTTGCCCTCGGTTCCCCTTTGCCGTTCAGGTTCAGGGTTCTGAGAGGCAAGGGTCTTCCTTCTCTTCGTCTTGTTTTGCCACGGGCCGTCAAGACGCCGCAACGGACTTTTGGTTCGAGTCGAGAAAAAATCGCAACCGCTTCCTGCATGCTTTGAGGGGAAACCATTGGTGTCGACTTTGTAATTGCTCGCTAGTTGACAGAGAGTTTGCATATTGTCCTGAAATTTTCCATTCGATACCTATTTGTCTCAAGAATGGAATGGCAGTACACAAATACCATTACTGCAGCGCCCACCTCTCTTTATGGTTTTTTAGACGGGGCACTCGCCACTATTCCGTCTATTACGGAAACAAGGCACGCAATCTATATGGTCAGATTTGTGCTGCGAGAGCCGCCAGAGGCACGCCGGGGGACCACGGCCGCCCCAAACAATTATTCCGCAACTTTTTTGGCTTACATAACGGCGCTAATCGCCACACCATAGCACAGGCTACCTTAGATCCACGAAAGCTATGCTTGCGCGACAATCTAAGTACAACGCCAGCCGCTCTAGTTCCAGACGGGATTATAGACAATGGGTCCGTGACGCGCTGGAGGATGGAAAATTTACCCTGGTCCTTCCCCGGCTCCCTCCGAAAAGGGTAACGAATAGCCCTGCCCAACTCGAAAGAGCCTATGGCAGAGGGAACACAGCGCCAACTCTAGGATCTCGCGCTCATCTTTTCAGATCCTACGTGCAGCCTTCGCTTTTAGATCTACCAACGCGCCTTCTTGGATGGCGCCCTGAACGCAACCGACTACACGTCTGTACTTTTAACATCGAAACACTAATTGGACATGGGAAACAGGAAGCCCTAGCGGGCTTCGCGCGACAAAGGAAGATTGATATCCTGGCATTACAGGAGACGAAGTCCACTTCTTCAGACGAACGTAGAATAGGCGGAGGTAAACTCCTCCTTTCGGGCACGCCCACGGAGCACATGGCAGGGGCGGGCTTTTACATCCCTGCCCACCGCATACCGCTGGTATCCGACTTTCTTCCCTTTTCGGGCCGCATAGCGGCCCTGACCCTACGCACACAGCCAATCCCGACTCATCTAGTAACGCTATATGCGCCTAGTCAGCTATCGGACCCCCACGCCGATGAAGCCCGAAAAGATAAATTTTGGGACGATCTCCAAGAAATCCATCGCAATCTTCCTCGCCCTTCCTTGATTCTTTATATGGGAGATCTTAACGCAAGAATTATTCCGACGGAATTGGAAGAATTTTCGGCACATATCGGTAAAGCAGTCTTCTTAAGCGATGCCCCTGCGGACGACACGTATACCACCAATTATTTTAAGCTGCTGGACTTTTTGGTACACAATGACTACTTGATCGCATCATCCTTCCACACGCGCCCGGCTTCCCAGATCGTTTCATATAGGGAGATCGCGTCCTCTCCGGAGGCATCTCCCACACAACCAGACAACACAGACTTCTCTTGCCTTGATCATGTGCTGGCGCCCATGACGTCACTGCACAACATCAAAGCCGCGGCCACCAGGACCAGTTGGAAACTACCGTGGTTTCACCGCCACTACCCACTTTCATTCACGATCACCTTTGACAAGTTTCAAAAACCCCCTAAACCTCCGCCACCTAAAATCACGCCTCCTCGAACCAAAGACGACCAACTCAAATTTAAGCGAGAATTCGCGGAAGCATTTGCGCACGTAACGCAACAACCAGTCCACTTCTTAGGCACTGCCCCTGTGTTGGACGCGCCTTGCGTATACACAGACGGTGCTTGCCCTGATCAATATAATGTTCGAGTAGGCAATCCAGCCGGATGGGGCTTCACAATCCATCACAACAATACCTGGACTGACTCATGGGGCCCAGTGGGCCACAACTTAGAGCTCCAAGTCGTGGGCTCTAACAATACCGCCGAGCTACAGGCCCTATTAGAGGCACTGGATTATGTCGCCAGACACAAAACCCATCTTTCGATTTCTGCTCTTAACGTTTATACCGATTCCCAGCTCGCTTACGATTTTCTCCATGGCCTTTCCATACCCACGCAACACCTTCAACTCTTAACCAAATGACGCATCCTCCTGGACCACCTTCTCTCCAGTATCACCGTATCGCTACTGAAAATCAAAGTACATTCGGGCCACGACGGAAACGAACGCGCCGACACCTTAGCCAAGACAGGAGTTACCTCCTTCTCCACAATCGGGAGGCTTGCGGTCAACTTGTTGATAGCGTTTTAAAATTCTTTCTTTGAAGAAACTCGGGGGAGTTTCGTTTCTGCATGCTCTTGGTCTTGTGCAATGAGCCGCATCGCAGTGCGAGCCACAGAGGCTCAAAAAGAAAAATTTTCGTCAAAGGGCTCTCTAGAGGCTTGTAGATCTGTCCTAGCAGGCCCGAGACCTCCGTACTTCGGTGTTGCTCTTAGAGAGCTGTGCAAGACTGCCCGCGTGGGGCAGTCGGATGGACAGAACCGCGTCAGCCAGCCTGGCTGCTTCCGGCAGCTGCTCGGACCAGCAGGGCCCTTGATCGGCTCCTCCTGCTGCCTGGATTAAGCATTCCAAAGCACGCTTGCGGCAGCTCTTTTGCCTTCCCTTGAGCTCCGCTTGCACCCTGGGAGAGCCCTGCTGTCTTGCTATGCCTGCTTCCGTCAGCTGTGTCATGGACTCCTCCGAGGAACCCCCGCTTTTGCAGCCTGCTTTCTCTTCGGATAATTTGGGGTTAGCTTCAGGATCGGGTTCTTCGAAGGATGCTGATGTGCCTGCTGTGAGTTCCGAGCAAGCCGTGTGCGACTCTCCAAAGAGTATGGGCTGGAGCCTCCCAGCTCAGATCGATAAAGAGCCGAGCTCCTCTGCATTGGACGACCCGTCTGGTGGGGAGCTGGAATTTGGCAGGCAAGGTCAGGTTTTTGAAGCGGACTGTGAACGCGAGTGGACAAGCGACGTTTGGGACGACCGCGAAGAGATTGCTTACTACCGTGGGTTTGATGAGGGGTCTGGTTCAGATCCTAGAATCTTTGGAGGAGTTGATGCAGAGGATGATGGTTTTGATGAGGCATTACAAAGGCTCATAGGGAGGGATTTTGAACCGTCCGAGCTTGGTGTCCAATTGCATGCCAGCGACCCCGAGGCCCGCATTGATGATTCTGTTGCGGACCCGGTTTTTGTGCAGGAGCGGATGCTGGACGAACTAGTTAGATACCCAGCGCCGCCAGCAGGTTTCAAGCTTCCATGGGAGCGAGGTCCTATGAAAAGCATTTTCAGCGAGCACCTTCCTCAGCTGCCGAGTCTTGGAGGGATGCCCAGGCGATGCATGCCAGACCCCTTGCCGTTGGTTGCTGCATCCAGTGCTGTGAAAGCATCCAAGCCAGCGTCAACTTCGGAGCCAATTTTCAAATTGGTAGTGAAAGCTGTCAAAGACGTGGGTTTCATTGAACGCCGTGAGGAAATGCTTCAGGTTTCGGTGCATAGGCTTGCCATTAGCCTGGAGTTGGTCGGTAATGCTTCGGTGCCGCCGGAACTGCTACACCAAGGCAGGGTTGATGCAGAGTCGCTCGAAGCCGCCCTAGGTGTGAGAAGCCCGCTCACGATTACCAAGCGCGCGAACAACCTTGCTAGTTACATCAAGTGGTGCACGGGCGAGAAAGTGATGGGTGGCTGTTTCTTTCGGGAGGCAACCGTTTGGGAATATCTCTGTCAGTCTCGAGGTGCCGACTGCGTTTCCATGTTGAGGTTCCTGCACTATGTTCTCGGCCTCGACCTTGCACCAATACTTAAAAGTCGACGCATTAGCGGAATCACAGAGCAGATGCGAACAGGCAAGGGTTGGATAAAGCAAGCAGCGCCGATCTCCCTGAGCGAAATTCTTTTCCTTCACCAGTTGCTAGAAGAACAAAGGTTGCACAAGTACGATCTTGCAATGGTTTCTTATGTGCTCATTGCTTTGTATGCCCGTGCCCGCCACAGTGACTTAGCTGACGTGCAGAACGTCAACCACGACCACTCACCGGCAGGTGGGTTTCTGATCATTGAGTTGGGTCAGCACAAGACGCGAAGGGCCCAAGCGAGGTGCCGAGAGCTGCTCCCGGTGCTCATACCGGCCATCGGGGTGCATGGGAAGTCTTGGTTGGGTTTAGCGCAGGAGTGCCTTGAGAATGCAGGTTTAAGCCTAGAAGGCGAGCTGAAGGGTCCCATCTTGAGGGCGCCTGCTAATTCTTATGGGGATTCCTTGTGTTCGCGCGAAGTCCGATCGAACGAGATCACCTCGTTTCTTCGGAAGGTCCTCCAGCCAGTGTCATCTAAGGATCGCCTTGCTTGCGTGTCATCACACTCGCTCAAAAGGACACTGCTGTCCTGGGCAGCGAAATTTGGACTGAGCGATGATACTTGCTCAGTGTTGGGCCGGCACACTTCGGCTACTGTAAGCTCGAGGGCTCTGTATGCGTTGGACCTTGCAACCGCACCGGCTCGTGAGTTGCAACGCATGATCTTGGAGGTTGCCGCAAAACGCTTTGTGCCTGATGCGGCGCGCTCGGAATACTTCCCTCTGAGGCCAGGTCCGTCTGAGCCGTGTGCGCCAACCCTTCACAAGCAAGACCAGACACTGAAGGGTGCAGGAGTACAGGTGAAGACCGAGGATGCACTGGCTCCCGAGCCTAGTGATTTGCCCGCAGGCCCCATCCTTGTAGATTCTGAGTCGGATTCATCTTCGAGCGAGAGCTCTGACAGCGGGTCCAGTGAGGACGAAAGCGAATCCTCGAAAGAGCCGAGCAAGGTTCCGAGGTTGGAGGTTGATTGGCCGCGCGAGCAAATCGCCCTGCATGTGAAGTCGCGTATCGCCCACAGGATTGTCTTCACCTCGGAGGGAGGCACCATGGTGTTCTCCTGCGGGAGATCGGGGGCCAAGAACTTTAAGAAGCTCGAAGGGTCTCGAGCGGCTTTGGCATTTTGCCAGACATGTCGGAAAGCCGACAGGTAAGTTGCGCAATGCAACGGAGACTTGGCCTTAAGGCCTCAGGCAAACCTTCCAAGGGGGGGGGAAAAAGAACAGCGTCCGTGTGATGCTTCATGTGCGGTAGGCAGGCTGCAGGGCTTGAGAGCAGTGTCCGTGTGATGCTTCATGTGCGGTAGGCTAGCTACAGTGCTTTTGAGATGGTTTCGCATGCATGTCAGCTTCATGTTGCAAATCGGCCCTTCCACGTATGTGAGTTTTGGATCGCATGATTGAGTGACACGTTCGAACAGTTGTGAGGCTTACCACGTCATGTCCTAATTTTTCGAATTGCAATCGTTTGTGTCAAGCAACAAATCAAACCACGTAACAGTAGACTCTCCGCAAACATGTCCGCGTATCTCGACTCCAATGCTCATTTCGAGCATCGTTGCAAGGCCTACGGTCTTGCAGCAGAGACCATCACAAAGCTTGGAAGCTTGGGCGTCAAGACATTAGGGCAAGTTGCTCATGCAGTTGGAGTGCCGGGGCAAGACATCCAGGATGCGCAGATGAAGGATTGGCTCGATGCCAACCTAACAGGTTTGAGTGTCGGAGAGGTTCTGAGCTTCAAGCGCCTTCATTTTGAGGCGCAAACGATGCTCATAGCGCAGCTGCGGCAGAGTGTAGTGGATCCTGACGCAGCAAGTAAGCAGAAGTTACCAGATGCAGAACGTGATCAGCGCTTCAAACTTTTTAAGAGTGCCAACCCAGGGCTTTTTCTTGATCCAACCACTGAGCCAGGCCATAGCCTGTTGGAGCTCGCCAGTGCGCAGGAGCGCGAGAATGTCCTTAGGCACATTCCAGTTGAGAAATGTGTGAGCAGGCAGCATGAAGTTCTCAACCATCGCCAGCCGAGCAAAGTTCTTGAGGTTGAATCAGGTAAACTAAATGTTAAGGAGGTCACAGATACACCCGAGCAACCGGCTCATGGGGCCCTGGCTTTTCTTGAAGCTTTGAAAAGGCGTGGTTACGCGTACAGCATGGCCCGTTGTGTCTCATTGCAAGCGTACGAGCAGTGCATCGCAAAGTTGCTGATGAATTTTCGTCGGCCTGCTCCTCCCAATCACAGCCGTGTCACTCTGCAGCAGCTGCAGGATGCTGACAAGATGGTTTGGGTTCATATGGTGGAGAGGGGCACTCGGCCCCGGCAGCAGCCAGATGGGACTCGGGACATGAACACCCACCTACATGATGCACTGGATTCTTACCAAGTGTCCGCACTTCTGTTGCCGTTGCCGGCGAGCAGCAAACGCAAGCGTGAGAACAGCCCCCTTAAGACCCCGTACAATGGTAAGGGCAAGACCTGGAAGGGCAAAGGAAAGGGGAAGGGGGGTAAAGGTAAGGGCGCTGGGTATGAGCCACCTCCCCAGCCGCATAATGTAGCAATTCCCAAGAAGATCAAAGACCTAGGAGGTAAGGCGTATACTTCCAATGGATTGCAGGTCTGTTATGGTTACAACTTGGAGGGTTGTAAATTGGGCAACGCATGTAGCCGTGAGCATGTCTGCGCCAAGTGCGAAGGCGATCACCCGATCACAAAGTGTCCTCAGAATTGAGGGCAGCCACCGCAATGCGAAGACCCCCCAGCTGTCAATGACTGTGCCAACCTCAGCACAGGAGACGTCTTACTCAATGCTTCTCAACAGTCAACTTGCAAACATCCAGCGGAAGTCTTCGCTGAGGCATGCTTGACAACACCCCCCATCACCGCTGGTAGTATCGCAAAGCTCACCACTTTGCTTGAAAGTGACCCGCAAAATCGCCCGGGCCATCCTCAGAGCGGGTTTGTCTGGGGCACCGGGGCTGCTGTGTATGGAGGTGTACACTCCCTACGTGCCAATGCCCGCAAGTTTCCAGCAGTAAGCTTGATGCTTGCGCAATACGCTAAGCAGTGGGTGCATGGTCACCCATTTACCAGTTTAATCCTCTTCGCTGATGTGCAAGCACCCCTGCATTCCGATCGAAACAACGCCGCAGGGGTGGACAATTTTCTAATCGGTGTTACCGACTTTGATGGAGGCGAACTCTGGGTCGAGTCAGAGGCCGATTCCCACAAGTGTCCTGATCCAGCCTACGAAGGCTGCGGCACTGTTTTACCGGTGTCTCGCACCTGTCAATTCTTCAATGCGCACACCAGGCATGCGACCTGTCCGTGGACAGGTCAAAGGGTGGTTCTTGCGGGTTTTACCGTAAAAGGTTATGATGCCTTCACTGATTCGGTTCATGACTGCCTATGTCAACTTGGTTTTCAGGTGCCGCAACTCACGACTGGGGACTTCATTTGTCAAACCCTAAAGCCGCCTCCCCAGCCCTCCCTAGGGTCAGGTTTCGTTCCAACTTGCCCAGTTATTTTTGAAATCTTCTCAGGCACCGGTCGGGTGACTGCCTGCCTGCGAAAACTGGGCGTGTCTGCAGCGCATGCCGTGGACCACTGTATACATCGGGAGGCCGCCGCCCTCCCAATCCTTGCGGACCTTAGCACGCCTGAAGGCCGTGAGTTCTGCATGTTTTGGTTGAGCAGTCCACTGGTGGTCGCAGTTTTCGCAGCCCCACCTTGTGGCACTTCATCTCGCGCTCGCGAGATCCCTTGTTACGATGCACAAGGCAACCTTTTGGTGTCCCCCAAGCCGCTGCGATCGCAGCAACATCCCGATGGAATCCCAACTCTTGCCGGCTCCGATTTTTCCAGGGTCCGGCAAGCTAATGCCTTGTATGACTTCTTGAGCACAATTGTGGAAACTTGCAGCCGTCGGAATATCTTGTGTGCCATCGAGAACCCCCAGCGAAGCTGGTACTGGGCCACCTCAGCCTTTAACCGCATTAAGCATCATTGCTGCCATGCGGTCAGTTTCGACCACTGTGCTTTCGGCGGGCCCAGGCCAAAGCGAACAACCATCGTCAGCACCATGCCAGCGTTCGGATCGCTGGCCAAAGATTGTCCAGGTGCAGCCTGCGCGGCTAAACACAAACCATGGGGTCTGTCTGAGTCCGGTTTCGCTACCAAGCAAGAAACCGCGTACCCACCACTCACCACAGCTGGCTGCATCCATCGCCCATGCCCTGGCACGACATGCGTGCAGCCTTGGGTGGAACCCGGATGCCCCGTTGCAGAAGCCGCAATCACTGCAAACCGCCTGTCAAGCTGTTACAGGGTCTCAACCCAAGGCGTCTCGCTTTCCTCCCCTGGTGGCAGAGCATGCTAAAGTTGTTCTTCTTGTCGGTCCTGCAGACTTGCGTTTACCGTGCCAGCCGCAAGAGCGTCTCAAGTCCTCGTGGCCAGTGCCCCCGCAGTGCGACTGTGAATTAAACGTCATTCCAGCAGAAGCCCAGCTTCTCAGGATCACTCCCCTCTCGGCTAAAAAGGGGGACAACAATCCTCAAGCAAAGCACGTAGAACTACGGAACCGATGTGAAATTGCGTGGGGAGTACCCTTCAAACCGGAAGGTTTTGTGAGAGAGGCTATCAAAGCAGGGCATCCAAGATTGCTGCCAGTGGACCTACCAGAGCCCTTGGAAAAAGCCGTCGAAATGAATCGATCTCACAGCAGAGAGGAGCTGACTGCTCTCCGAGAAGAATGGTTCAGGAAATGGGAGCGCCGTGCGGAGGAGCTGCGCCCGCAAGAGGAGGAACTGAAAAATCATTTGCCCGAGCATTTGCGGAATATTCTTCAAGGCAAGGGTCTTTTAGTCTGGAGGGAAATTCTTCAGGATCTAGGGTATAAAGATTTAGGAGTCGTGGAAGAGGTGGCGCGTGGAACGGAGCTCCTTGGACAAGTGCCCTTGACCGGTGTGTTTGAACAGTCGTTCAAGCCGGCCGTTGCAACCCCAAGCCAAGTTCAAGCCAATGCTCAAGTGAGCCGGGGAAAGGTCTTGGGCAGCCTTAAATCGCAAGGCCGACTGGACAAGGAGGTACATGATAAATCGGTGAAGGAAGTTGAGGAAGGATGGCTTCGGGGACCTGTTGCAAAGAAGCTTTTAAAAACTAGTTCACTAGTGAGCAAGCGATTCGGACTTGAGCAGGGTTCGGGCGAAACCAGGAAGGTCAGATTAGTTGACGACCTAAGCGCAAGCTCAGTGAATGATGCAGTGCAAACGTGTGAATCTCCGAAACCGCACGGTGTTGATGTCATATCAGCTCTGTGCCTGAAGTGCTTGGATCGTATGCCGAGGCGGCCCATGAGCGGCAGGTGCTTTGACCTAAAAGCTGCATACAGGCAACTGGGACTTAGTGAGAGTGCCCTAGATGCTTCGTACGTGGCCTTTCCCGACCCGCAGTCGGGCGAGCCAACGATTTACCAATCGCTAGCGCTGCCTTTCGGGGCAGCGCGTTCTGTGTATTCCTTCCTTAGAGTCTCTCACAGCATTTGGCACATAGGGTGCTCTCTTGGTTTCATGTGGGCAAACTACTATGATGATTTTCCAATCCTGTCCCCTGATGACGATGTGCACTCCTTAGAGAAATTTGTAGAAAGGCTATTTCGGTTACTAGGCTGGCGCTTCGCCGAGGAAGGCAGCAAGGCGGAAGGCTTTGGAAAAACCTTTGCATGTTTGGGTGTAGTTTTCAACCTGCGACATTTCTGCAGCGGCCGAGTAGAAGTGGACAACACAGAAACCAGGAAGCGTGAACTACAAGGAACCTTGAAAGATCACGCTGAGGCGGGTCGGATGTCGACCAGCGCTGCTCAGAAACTTAGGGGGCGCATGCAGTTTGCTGACAATCAGATTTTCGGTAGGGCGAGCCGCTTGTGTTTACAAGCAGTCACCGAGCACATAGTGAGTGGTCAGGACGAGCTCACTGCAGATTGCAAAGCCGCTATGCTTATGTATGCAAACATCCTTGAAGTGTGCAAGCCTCGCATCCTCGCGAGGCCTGCGGAAAGCCAGTGTATCTCTTCACAGATGCATCATTCGAGCGGGGCAGTGACAAACCAAGCTGTGGCATAGGAGGGATTTTGTATGACAGCGAAGGGAGAGTGCTGAAGTTC